ACATAGTCACGAGTAACACGATATTCAAGAGCAAAGCAAATGATAATAATTAATCGTATAGGCCTGTTAATAGTTAAAAATATTTTGTGCGCATGTCTCAAGTTCCGCCATGTTTTTCGGACACTTTACACGCGTATAAGCAGTGTATGCAATGTTTTTTTAATGTAAGTAAATAAAAAAAATATATTTAATTAATAATTAATTATTAATAATCAATAAATATTCAATTATTGATAATTATTAAATATTTACATGATGTTGTGAAAGGAATCAAAGCATTGAAAATTCAAACCATCCTGCAAAAAACATAGATTGTACAACTGTCCATAATGTGCTTATTGATAAAAGACAAAATGGTCAAACAACAGCATTTTCATTGAATCAAAATTTCACTTTTACACTAGAATTAAACTTGCCAAATAAAAATGAATATACACCGTAAACTTTATTGTTTATAATTACATTTAATTCTTTAATTAATAATATAGATCAACTTCGTATTAATATAATTATTATCCTAACCTCTCAATTAGTTAAGTATAGAACTTAAGGTGAAAATAGTCCACCTTGAGGATGACCATGGCATTTCAATCATCGTCGTAACTGAACACAATTGTTGACTTCTACTGTGGGATGTACTAAGGATGCACACCATCAATTAATTTTTCGTTTAATTGCACTGGTAATAAGGGCAACGATACTTGTTGTCCAGCCATGCTTATAAAAAATGCCCGAAACTTTCATATTCTCACCTTTTCAACATGGCGGACGCGCTTGCGCTGAATTTAACGTTAAAAGGTCTATTGATCATTTAAAAAATGAAAATGGTAGTTAAGGGAGGGGGGGTAGAGCTAGAAGGAAGAAAGACACGGAGTAAGGAAGAAAAAGAGGGAAGAAGGAAGGAATACACGATTCATCATCTTATTATTCTCCCTTTCCCTTTTTTTCTTCTTATTCTTCTCTTTTAAAAAATTTTTTTTTACTTTCCTTCTTGTTTTTTAACACGCGCCTTTAATATGAAATTTTAAAATTACTCTTTTACAACAAATTTTTAATTCAAATACAATTTTCATTTAAATTTAAAATAACTCAATTGCAAACAAACAAAAATAAAGAAAAAGTTCATTTTCGATTTTGCATATAAATATATGTGTGTATTATTATTATTGTTATTATAATAATACACCTATGATACACATATACTAATAACTCAATCTCGAATTTGAAATCACTCTCTCTCTCTCTCTCTCTTTCTCTTCTCAAAACAAAAAATATTATCTTAATTTAACGCAACTTTAATTTAATTTATTTCTTCGTCGTCACTGCTCAATTAATTCAACCGAGAACGTTTTTTCGGTGGAATGATATCGCCTTGACTTTCAGAACGTTTTTCTTTTTTTTTTTTAAGTTCTTGCATCTTCTTCCCTCTTTAAAAAATCTGTAATTTTACTTTGCTCGTTGTTTCTTATCAGGTCATTGTAAATTTCTTGGTATGGAGCTCGACAGTTTTGATACTTTCTTTTGAATTTTCGGCTCCTTTCTTTGGAAGGATTTGCATTCAAGAAAAATGACTCAAAATTTTCAGCTAAGTTTAGGCCTTCTTGTCATATTTTTAATGTTAACTTATTAACAGCACAATCTTCATCAGTGCTAGTGTACTCAGGATCAATTTGATTTACAGTTTCGGATACCATTTCCATCAAATCCGCTTCGTCAACTTCTTCTTCCACTAATAAACTTTGAACATCCACAACAGCCATTTCCACAAAACCTTCGCCTCCGATTGATTTAGCAAGTTCTGATATGCAACCAATTTCATATTGTAACGATTCACGAACGTTTTCTATTTTAACTGAAGAGAGCCATATCTTCTTCCAACACGCATTTAACGTTGATGTTTTCAGTTCACAACAGCGTGAGACACTTTTGTTTTCAGACCATGAAGATGAAAAGAAATATTTTTCGTAATACTGTATCTTTAAGACGATAAGCCTCGCCGCGGCTGTAGAAGTACAGTGTTGTAAAAAGGTTTTTTGAAAGAGAAAACCGTTTTATAGGACACCGTGTTGTAGGAGGGTTCCCGCAATTATGAATCGTGTTATAGCAAAACCGTGTTGTTGGAGAGATACCTGTATATATATATATATAAAATAATACACCTATGATACACACATACTCGAACAGCTTCCACTCCACGTGATGATGCGTTATCGGGTGATTGCTTTTGCCAAAAAATCGACGCACGTGGATTTATCTTTTCGACGTTTTATCTTGAACGTATATTACGAATATCCATTTAACTTGACACACTTACCGTCGTCATACTCCTCCCCCTCCCCCCTCCTCTTTCTCCTCCTCTCTTCATCCTCTTATTTCTCGGTTATAATAATGCGCGATAAAAATATTTTCGAACAAATTTTTGTTTTTCTTCTTTGTCGGTACACACGCTTTTCTCTTCGTCATAAATTATAAATAAATTATTTGATTGCAATAATTATTTAATTAAATTTATTTGAATTTTGATTTGATTAATAATTTTATAATTTTATAAATTTTGATATTTTTCTTTTCCTTCTCGTCGTACCTCACCTCTCCCTTCCTACCTTCCCCCTCCATTGCCCACTTTGTTTTTTTTTTTACTCTTGAATTTCTAGAAGAAAAAAATTATTATTTATTAATTTATTAAATTAAATTATTTATTAAATAATTATTTATATATTTTATTATTTATGAAATATTATTATTTATTAAGCAAAAAAAAAAATATTTATTATTTATCAATCTTATCCTCTAAGTTATGTAGAAAATTGTTTAACAAATTGACTTGAATTATGGATCAATGTTATATTTTGAAATATTTTTTTCTTTTATATAATTATTGTTTTAAATATTATACAATAATTTTCTGTCAAAGTATTAAATAATTCTCTCAACAACGTTGATACTAGTACTATACAAAATTATTTATAATAATTATTAATTTTATTCTTGGGGTTTTTTATTTCTTTTTTTGCATCATCGAACCTTTAATACGATTAAACAGGACACTTCGTTTTTCTTTCTTTTATTTTTTTTTTGTTGTTGTTCGAATTATTGTAAATCAATTTAATATCGTATTATCGAACACGGGGGAATTTTTATTCTTCTTTTTATTTTTCGTATAATTGATAGTTGTTATCTGTATTTTATCCAAATGAGAATGATTTTTATCACATTGACGAAATTGATCATTTTTTTTTCGTTTTTTTTTCTTTTTTTATTCCGGATGATGATGATGATCTCTTAAGACACACACAAAACTCTTCAATAATAATAATAATAATATATTTTTGTAAATACAACCTAAAAACGAGAAAAATTCGATATCTTTAATAGATAATGTGATAAACATTGAGATCATTAGAGATAGAACAATAAGAAGAAGAAGAATAATAAGAAGAAGAGAAGAAAAAAAAGGAAAAGAAGAATAATAAAAAAAAAAAAAAAATACAAAAACAAAAACCACGAACTCTTCCGGTAGCAAAGTAAAAAAATAACTTGTCGTTGTTCGAGAAACTTTGATAAAAGTTTCGATCTTACTTTTGGCTTCAGCTGCGGTTCGGTTTCCTATACATATACATATAATACACATACACACACACACACACACATAAAAATATATATATAGCTTCCGGACCACGTAGGATTTGTGTCCTGTCGGTGACATACTTTTTAACAATAAGACTCAATTCTTTGACTCCGACAAGAAGCTCACCGACGGTAAATCCGGTGCTTTTGTTTTTTTTATTTTTTCCTTTTTCTTTTTTCTTTTTCCTTTTTTTCTCATCTCGTGGTACTCGAAATTTTGTCGATCGAATTTAATCGTTATCTATCATATTTGACAATTTTCACAAAACAAATAAAATTATCTCTTTTCGTTGTTTTCTTTGAAAACGAAGTTTTTTTTTTATTTGTTAATAAAAAAAAATGCACATAGAAGATTTTTTTTTATATTTTATGTTTTTTTTATTATATTTTATTTACCATAATTTTTTTTTTATTTTTTTTTTATTATATTTTATATTTTATATATATTTTATTTTTTTTTATATTTTACATATTATTGTAATTACATTTTATATATATTTTTTTTTTACATTTTATATGTTATATATATTTTATTTTTTTTATATATTTTACATATTATTGTAATTACATTTTATATATTTTTTTTTTTTACATTTTATATTTTATATATTATTTTTTTGTATTGTTTATATTTTATATAATATTTTAATTTTATATTTTACATTTTTTCGAGCTCTCAAATCTTTCGTCTGAAGATCCAGATCGATCGATAATTTTATTTCTTATCTAAATGTATAAAATGTAATTTTATCTTCTCCCCCTTTCCTCCTATTAGAAAATAATATAAAATTTTAATTAATATTAAATATTCAATAAAAATAAAATAATAAAAACATTTGAAGTGATTTTTTATATGTATAAAATCGTATAAAAAAAGAAAAGAATAGAAAAAAGATAATAAAAAAAAAAAAGTACCAGGAAGAAAGAATTGGATGTCATCCGTTTTCCTCCTTGTCCTGCGAAGATCAAACGTTAAAGAAAAAGAAAAAAAAAGAAAAAACTTAGACAAAACCGTGTCGTAGTTTTGATACTTCCCCATCTTTTACGTATGAAATAACACAGTGAGAGAGAGGATCTGCGGTTCTTCTTTGCCACATCCTCTTTTGACTAACTTCTATATTCAATTTGATTTTGAATCATTCTCTTGAAGGAAGTAACAGATAAAATGTTACATTTTTTCTTTTCTTTCTTTTTTTTTTTTTTTTTTTCTAAAAAGTTTCGATAACAGATAAAGTCAACGCGTTTGTTGTTCCTTAAATAAAAAAAAATAAAAAATTAATTCATTATTCATTTCGTTGATTTCATTGATTTTTGATTTTGCTTTTTGATTTGGATTTTGATTTTAATTTTGATTTGTTGTTTTTGTTTTTTAGTGACTGTTAAAAGCGAACCAGATCCAGTACAGGAACAGGAAGAGGAACAAGCTGAGATGCAAGCAGATGCAGCATCACCTACTTCTAGTGTAAATATCTATTTTCTTTTTTTTTTAATATATATACATATTTATTTCTATTTCTATTTTTATTTTTAATTAAAATATAAAAATTAAAATTACAAAATTAAAATATATTTTTTGTTAATATATAATAAATATATATATATTACAAATTTTATTAATATAATAAAATATATACTTTTCATAAAAAAAATAAAAATAAAAGAGAAAAATAAGAAAGTATAAATAATTTTATATATATAATTCTATAATTAATAAAAATTATTCGTAGGAATTAAAAAGTATCTAATATTACAAACGTAAAACGAATTTGTTTTGTAAACTTTCCAATAGAATTTTAATTAATAATATTATTTTACCAGTTAAAAATAATTATTGCACAAATCTTATATAACATTTTTTTTTATAAACGAGTCATTTAATTTGCATTTGATAAAAATATCAGATCAAAATATCACGAAACATCGGTACATTTATGATTAATCCAATGAATATTCACACACACAAAAAATACCTATAATTTATATCATAATAAAGAATAAATAATAATAAGAATCATTTTAATTACAGATCGATTTACCTGAAAATACACACCCGTGTCCAGCTTGTCCGTCAATACTTCCAACATCTCACGACTTGACGAATCATCTTCGTGAACATAATTCACCAAGGAGTACAGATTACGGTGGTGAAGAGGATTACTGTTGTGCTATATGCCAAAAAGTCTTAAGTTCGGCAAGTTCATTGGATCGTCATGTGCTAGTACATTCTCGTGAAAGACCATTCAAGTGTAAATATTGTGACATTGCATTTACAACCAACGGTAATATGAACAGACACGTTAAAAGTGCTCATCGTGGTGAAAGATCACCGTTACAAAGTTATACGGAATCTGAAAGTACCAGCAACGATTCGGAAAATTCACCTAGAAGACAACAAATGGAAGAACATAACAATAATGAAATATCAAAACGTACATCGCCAAATTTCATGATTAGAGAAAGAATAGCAAATAAACGTAAATCACCGTCGTTTACCAGAGAAGATGATAATCCGCGTAGACATAAAATATTATTGAACAATTCTAGAACAGAGATAAGACGGATATCTACGGAAACACAAAAAGCTTACAATTGTCCTGTATGTAATAGACAAGATTTCGCGACTAGCAGTTTATTGGAAACACATTTGGAACAGAATCATCCCGAATTTACAGTCAAGTGTGAACAATGTAACATTTCATTCAAAAATCATCGTGTATTAAATTTACATCGACACATGATACACTTTTCTGACGTTGAAATACCCGCGAAAAATTCAAACAACGAGTGTGTAGTTGGCTTTCAAGATTTAACATTTGTTGATTTTACATCGGCTAAATTCCCAACTATTGCTAGGGCTGTGTGCGAGCAAGAGATACACCGACCAGCATCCGGGGAAGGTACCAACTTCCAATGCAGCAAATGTTCAAGAGCATTTCCCTGTTTCAAGTCAATGAAAGAACATCAAAATGAATGTGGTAAGTGTAGGCCAAGTTTGCAATGTAGTCCGATAGATAACGGGGAATCCCAGAGGGATGATTTTTTCGCGGGACTCGAATTGCACAATAAAGCTGCATTAAACGAGGCCAAAGATGGAAAGGATTTAGCAGATATTGAAAGCATTTTGTCGGTTACTTCCGGTCCAATTTTACAAAATTTTCCCCGTTCGGATGCTAGTACACCTGAAAATAATATTAAATTTAATTCGAGCGTTGGTTCTTCTTCTGGTTCATCAGGAACGATGTCGTCGGAGTATCACGAGGAAGAGGCACAGGATTTATTTGCTGCCGAATTTAGGAAGATGAAATTAAAAGGAGAATTCCCATGTAGATTGTGCACATCGATATTTCCTAATTTGAGGGCATTGAAAGGACATAATCGTGCTCATATGGGTGTAGGACCAGGAGTACCATATCCATGCAACATGTGTCCATATACCAGCACGGATAAGGCAACACTTGTAAGACATTTAAGATCTCACAACGGTGATCGGCCATACGAATGTTCCCTCTGCAATTACGCTTTTACCACTAAAGCTAATTGCGAGAGGCATGTCAGAAATCGTCATGGTAAATTAACCAGAGAAGATATCAAAAGTGTTTTGATTTATCATCCGAACGAAGACTCGACCAATGATAATATTGGTACTTCTCCTAGAATGATGAAAGATGAGACGAGAAAAAGTTTGATCTATCCGAATGACAGAGAAGATTCTATACATCAACAACAACAATTGCAACAACAACAGCAACGTTATCTGTCAATGCCGGTTGATACCAAAGGTGACATTAGAGTAATAGAAGAAGCTAAATTACCTAGCACCGAATTGGCATCTTCTATTCGCAATATGATAGTTAATCATTGCGAAAGTAATAATGATAATTACGTTAGATCAAACATAACAGGTTCCGGTATTATTTCAAGAACCATGGAAGAAACTACTACGTCTCAAGATCAAAGTGGAAGGATTGATGATGATTTTGAATCAAGATCATCCAATGAAAGTATTCCTCTAGTCATTAATAACGAAACAGATATGCACCAAAGAATCCAAGCTAGTCCGATGAATTTGAAGAAAATGTCTAACACGTCTAATGCGGTCAATTCAAATCAGGATGGACCATTGGATCTTTCAATGGACGTTTTAGATTTGAGTAAGAAAGCTAAGGAAAGAAACGGTGCTGCTGGATCATTAAGATCCAACGAATATCCTAATAACGATCATAGAGAATTTTACGATTCTACAAATCAATTATTGCTTACTCAAGCTTTGTTACGAGCAAGCCAAGGTACCTCACCGGTTACTTCGCCAGGTATCTCTCAAGGAAATTCACAAACGAATACTTTGCAAAATTTTTATGCCAGTGCTCAAATGATTTATCGCAATTTGGGAACAATTTCTAATGGCGTTAACACCGGACTTTTATCACCATATTTATTTAATTCGCGTTTTTTTGGACAAGATTTAAACATCAGTGACAGAATTCACAGCGAATTTTCTAGGGGTTTGCAATTAACCAGCGGTGGTACTTTGGTTGATCCATCGGGAAATTCAAATTTTAGCGGATTTCCACAAACCAACGATGCCCCACCATCGCAAATTGTAACCGATCAAAATGATTACAGCAATTTGCTTAATACAAAGATGACCAATAAGACGATATCACCACGTGAAAAGGTTGACAATAATTCGGCTTCTACGAATTCGGTTAAAATGATCATCAAGAATGGCGTGTTAATGCCTAAACAAAAACAACGAAGATATCGTACTGAACGACCATTCTCTTGCGGACATTGTACAGCTAAATTTACTTTACGAAGTAACATGGAAAGACATATTAAACAACAGCATCCTGAATTTTGGAGTCAACGACCACGCGGTGGTCATTCAACGAGAGGTAGACCACCATCGAATCATAATAATATATTGAAAAATTCTGGACACTCTAATTCACAATCTTTGTCTCAATCTTATTCCAACATATTACCCAAAAGTGAACCATCAACAACGACGATAGAAACAACTGGTAGACATTCGATTTCAGATCAAGTGAAATATGCTATTTTGGCTCAACAATTGAAAGCCAATAAAATGGACGATAATGATACCGATGAAGAATTAATCATTGATGAAGATCCCGTTGATAAAGAGGTGCAAGAATCTCGTGAACAACGTTCAACGAGTTTGTTGAGAGGACAATTAGAAGGTAACGAATCTAGCAAAGATGTCGTAATGAAGGAAGAAATATTAGACAGAAATTCAACTGATCTATTTAATAACGAACAATCTAAGGAACATAACAATACCAATGAAAATGGCCAAAGTTCTAGCAACGAACACAATGAAAAAATAGAAGAAACCTCTATGGATGCTAATTCAAGACAAACCTTTAAAATGGATCATAGCAATGATACTACCATTCAAGACAGACAAGAGGATAATACTGCTGATCTTGCTAGTGTTTCAGAATTATTGGACAACGCTTCTCATCAATATCAACATTTTCAATCTCAATATTTGAGCGACGAAGAAGGTTTAGTCGCATCTAACAGCGATTTCAATAATTCCGGTAGCGATGATAAATCCGATTCAGTTAATTCCGGAAATTTTAACAACGCTTCATCAAAACAGAAGAAGAAGAAAAAAAAGAAGAAGAAGAAATCGGCTTATTCGTTAGCACCTAACAGAGTAATATGTCCTTATTGCGAACGACCATTCCCATGGAGTTCATCCCTAAGAAGACACATCCTTACACATACTGGACAAAAACCATTTAAATGCGTATACTGTTCACTTTGGTTTACAACCAAATCTAATTGCGATAGACACCTATTGAGAAAGCACAAAACTAATCCCTATAAAGTAAGAAGAGCTAGAACTTCATCATCACCTGAAGTTATTCATTTGAATAATGCATTTTCTATGAGAAATGTTCCCGAAAGACCATACAAATGTAATCAATGTCCAAGTTCAACGTTCTCAACTTTGGGAAATTTGAAGAAACATCTTTCGGCCAAACATTCGCGTAAAAATAAATCGAGATCAGTTTCATCGTCTACCGAGACACAAAATAGTCCTTTACCGTCATCCAAACAACAAAACAATGATCTTAGCGATTACGAGAGTAGATCATCAAGCGTATCGGATAATACGGATCAACAACAACAACAACAACAGCAGCAACAGCAGCAACAGCAACAGCAACAGACATCACCGTCCGAAACTCAGAAACAAAATTCCAATAATTCAACAACATCTTTGTCCAATAACGAATTACCAAGATCACGAAGAACTTCACCAAGATCATCACCAGGTCCTAATGATGTACCATTCAAGTGTCATCTTTGTGATTGCGGATTTGCCGATCGTAACGATTGTTTAGAACACATCAAGATCAATCATAATGAATCTTATGAGATGCTAGTAGCAAAAGGTGCTATGGATATGGACATTGATGGGTTGGAAGATCATCAAGTACAACAACCACCTCCTCAACAACAACATCCTAGCGATGGGGAGGAAAGAAAAGGACGATATCCAGATTACAGTAACAGAAAAGTAAGTTTTATCTAGTTTTGTTTTATCTATATACTATATATAGAACATTTCTTTATTAATCGAGTAGATAATCTTTATTTAACCCAGTTTTACAGCCATGTGGTGTGACTTTGTTTACATTTTTGCATTCTCCATTCCTCTTCATTCATCCATCCCACTCATTCCTTATTGCTTCTCCTGCTTGCATCATCCCTAGGCCTGTCTCTCTTCCTCTCCCTTTGTCATGTTCTCTGCAAATCCTCCTCTGTTTCTCCACATATCTCAACCATCCCTCCACCTTTTCGTTCATTTTCCCCTCTAAAATTTCTTCTTCCTTCAGGTCTGTTCTTTCAAGCTTCGTGCAACCTTCCATCAGGTGCCCCAATGTCCCAACCTCCACGCCGCATAGTCCACACCTCCTCTCGCGCTCATCTAGCCAATACTTATTGCACTCCTCTAGGTTTCCACATCTCGCCCTCGCTATTAATCTCTGGTTTTCTCCTCTCCCACACCTGTTGAGGTATTCTGGTCTTGTGGCCGATCTTATCCTTTTATACTTTCTGTTGTACCTCGCTTCGTCTATCTTGTTGTTTGCAGTTGGCCCTGTGTTCCTCTGTCCTTTTTCTTCAGACTTACATTTATAATTGGGCTGTGTCCAGTAACGATATCCCTCTATAATTCTTCGCTTCTTCTACCTCTCCTTTTTTAAAAATCGGGACTATAATGCCCTTTCTCCACTCGCTCGGGAAACCCTCCCCCTCCATATCCTTTTCAATATCTCCATCGCTTTTAACGGCGTCGTTCCCTCACAGAACCTCCATGCTTCCCCCGGAATGCCGTCTTGAGCCACCGCCTTCTTTCTCTTCAGCTTCCTCAATTGCATTTCAATCTCTTCGTCCTTCAGGTCTTCTTCTTCCTCTTCACTCCTTAATTGATTTCTTCTGGCTGCCTCCGTCTTTTCTTCTTTCCGTCCTAGTAGGCTGCAGAAGTGTCTCCTCCACTCCTCATTTGTTATCTTTTCACCTATTGGTGCTTTCTTTTTCCTACTCTTGTTTATGTACTTCCAAATCTCCTCTTCTGTCTTTGCGTTCCTTATTTGCTCCATTTCTTCCTCTTTCTTCTTCTCTTCTTTTTTCTTTGCAGATCTTTTTGAACTCGGCTTTTCCCTCCAGATTATTAATCGAGTAATTGACTAAGGATAGAATACAAATGATAGAATTTGTTAAATTTAAAAATCAGAAAGTAATATTACAAAAAAATTTTCACAATTTGTCGATAAACTAGTATCAACTTGTTTTTTTTTTGACCTATTTACATTAATTCTTTTTTTCATGGGAAGCATTGGGATTAGAAATAATTGTGAAAATTTAACAAATATTTAATTAAAAAATAGAAAATCCCAATGCAAATTGAATCATTTAACTTTTAACAATTAATTTTGATAAAATGATATATTAAAAATGTTTGTTTTTTTCATTTGTGTCAACAGGTAGTCTGTGCTTTTTGTATGAGACGATTTTGGTCAGCCGAAGATCTACGTCGTCACATGAGAACACATACAGGAGAAAGACCATTCTCATGTGACATTTGTCTTCGTAGATTTACATTGAAACACAGTATGCTGCGTCATCGTAAAAAACACGAATCTGTCGATTCAACGATGTACGTTTGTACCAGCGGTGACGAGGAAAATTCACCAACACAACCGCCAACGATTACACCACGCACGCAGAAACAACCACCAATTTTAATGGCCACCAATATAAATAATTCAAGAATTCAAGATAGAATTTCATCGTCTGTTGCTACCGGTGATGCTGCACCTGGCGGTGGTTTTATGAGATACAATAGTTATGAAAAATTAACAACATTTGCCGGAAAACTTACCGCCGCCAATAACACACAAATTCATAATAATACAATTAACAATGATTCAAACGAAAATACAGATAACGATTTGATCTCAAATCTATTAGGAATACCCGACAAAAGTTTCATTGATAAAGTGCTACAAGCATCACCGGACGATGCTGCTAAATTGTTAGGCGTACAACGTAGCCAAGAATGAAACAAAAATAAAAAACAAAAAAACTTACAAAAAAAAAAAAAATAAAAAAAATACATAAGTCCGATATGACGATACATTATAAATATACAATAAATGAGTAGAAAAAAAAAACCCCAAAAAATATTATCAATTTTTCTCAATTCATATCTCATTTGAGGACGTTCTTCTTTGTTTATGTCTCTATTTCTTGTATTTTTTTGGTTTCTTTTTTTTTTTTTTTTAATTCATATTCATTCACCATTATTGTGCCTTATCTGTATAAAATTGTATACTTTTATCGATTTTTAATTAAAAAAAAGAATAATAATAATTGACATCGCATACTATTTCAGTTGATCATTTTTCTTTTTTCGAATATTGTACAAATTGTGCGTGTATATGTGTGTAAAGACAAAACGCTCTNTTTTTTTTTTTTTTTTTTTTTTTTTTTTTTTTTTTAATTTAAAAGCGTGGCTTTTTTTCATATCATTCATTTATAATATATCGTACGTGTAATTTGCATTTGAATAATTTTATAATTTTTAATTATAAATTTACAACAAAACAATCCCAATTTATAATTAAAAGATTTTTTTTTTAGCATACATTCATGCCTACAATTTTAAAAAGACATAAACAAAGACATAAAAAAAATTATGATATAAAAAATTTTTTATATCACCACTTTTTATCATTTTAAATTTGTTGTTTTCATTTTGCTAAATCTCGAATCGAATATTGTTTTGATTTTTTTTTTTTTTTATTATCTTCAATTTTACTAATCAACTTAACTACGTGCATATTTTTCCGATACGTATAATACATGCATTTCGTATAATTACGCAAAAGTGTATATCCTACGTTTTAATTGTTCATTAACCCATTTGCATTTTGATAAAAAAAAAACGATGTATAATCAAATTCAAATAATTACAGACCGTATAAGTTACATCGTTACTATTTGCATAAAAAAAAAAAAAATAAAATAAAAGATCTTGTGTTTGTTTCTTCTTTTTTTTGAGAGATCTTGTTTTTTGATTATAATTAATATTAATAATATTAATGATGTATTATCAATAATTTATCGATGCGAATGGGTTAACATGTATATATAAGTATACATATAAACGTTTTCTACATATATATAAATATGTGTGTATATTTTTTAATAGTAATATTAATTAGCTTTTAGTAAATAAACAAAATCATAATAATATAATATAGAAGTAAAATCCAATGAAATAAAAAAAAAAAAAACCAAATATATACCAACAGAAAATACATTCCTCGTCAAAACGATATAAACCCACAGGTTTGTTATTTTTAATTTATCACAATGATCGCATATTGTTAGTTTTATATTAAAATAAAGAAAAGAAAAAACTGAATATATGATCGAAATGATAGCGCACATTTTATTAAATTTATTTAGAAATTATTCGGTAATTCTTGAGTTTGGATTGGTAAGACAAATTACAATGCAATAATATTATACAAATTTGTGAATAGGGAATAAAAAAAAAAACAAATAAATAATTATAATATCAATGTTTATATTAATTTAAAAATACTATTTCGTAGAATATAATAGGATATTTTTCAATTTAAATTCTATTCAATATTTGTACAAAATTCGTCATTTTTAGATTAATACAAATTAAAAGAAAAAAATAAAATATAAACGGGAAATGTGCTCATTATTAAAAGTAAGCGTAATAAATTCAAAATATATATTATTATTATTGTTAAAATATATTTGTTGATTATTATTTTATTATTGCATATGTGTGCTATCATTTCGTTCCTTAGAATAAAAGTATTTTATTTAATGTCAAATTTATATTTAATTAATCGCATTTTTATTCGTTGATAATTAAAATATAAATTTGTACATTGGTCATTGTGAGATAGAAAAAAAAAATAACACACCTGGATAAGATAATTTTTTTCACGAGGAATGTATCCTTATATTTTTTCCTTCGAAGCGTTAATCATATATATATACATATTAAAAAGCGAAATAAAAAAAAATAAAAAAAGCTCAGATATTGATCGTTAGACAAATTACGAGCGAGTGATCTTTAGTTGTAATTATATAATTAATAGGAAAAATTTCAATAATAAACGCGTAATAAAAACATTATTTCCAAATAAGAATTACAACAACACTATGTAAATATATATACACATATATACAAATATATATATGTGCATATATATAAATGTGTATAATTTCAAATAAATGTATAACTTTAATGTTAATCTTACGTATAATAGATCTACTTATGTGTAAAATAATTTAAAAATAAGAAAAAAAGGAAAAAAAAAGAATAATAAGAGGACAACAACAAAAAATCGCAATCCCAAATGCTAGTTTTGAAAATAACCAAAAATAGTAATTAATTTGTTTGTAAGATTCTAAATGAATTCCTCGTAAATGTACATTATTAAAAAATTCCTTTTTTTCATTAAATTAGATTCATTTTATCACATTTGTGTATATACATTTATATAAATTATTTTTCTTTTTTTTTTATGTTTTTCTTTTAAGTTGATTTTATAATGGAAAAAAGAAAAACAAAATAATGTTCTTTACGAAATACAACGAGACTCGATAATATGATTTTCTCTTCTTTTATTTATTATTATTATTATTTGTAAATAATGTTAATTGAAAAAAAAAAATAATCTTTTATAAATCAATATGTGTACGGATCTCACTTCAAATAAAAATTCAACTTTGTCATGTATACAATGACAATGTAACAAAAATTCATGATAGATATAAATATTACTGAATCCAACTTAAAGAATAACATACTTCATATATGAACGCAAAATTTAAAACAAAAAGAAAAACAAATAAAACGTAAAAATCTCGATTAAATGAAAGAAGAAAAAGAAGTCACAGAAATTGGTGAAAATATTGATATGAACGTTCAAGATATATTTTCTATATATCTTGACAATTTATAGAGACTGTGTTTGAAAATTATCAAACATTTATATATATACATATATATATATATATATTGATACATATATATATATATATATATATTGATACTTATATATATATATATATGTATGTATTTTAATTTGCATGCTTCTCTTATGCGAGCATTTTAAACAAATCTTGGTTTAACAAAATGCAGCAACAACTTTACCATTAATTAAACAAAATAATAGATGAGAGTGTGTGTTTGTGTGTGTGTGTGTACAATTATTTAATATTTGATCGCATAAGAAAGTTAACTGTGTATAGATAGCTCAATTTATTTCACTTGCGAATAGTATATTTATATATATATATATATTATTATTATTATATATATATATATATATAAAATACACATAGTCAAATGCTACAAAGTGATTACGTTTTTCTATCTCAATGAAAAAGAAAAACGATATTTACATAGAACTTTACCAAATATAACGACTTAGTTTAACATTTAACCAAGTCCCACTTCTCTAGGCTTAAGTAGATATACTTAATGAATGGAAGAACCAAATAGAAGAGAAACGAAATCCTATTTCTTGTTATTTTATCTCTAGATTCTCTAGTTTTATTTTCTTCGTAAACCTTTTAATATTTGTGTGTATGTTTCTTCTTGATATCATCATCAATACTATTCTCACTACAGATTATTCTCTTTATCGTTCTCTTCTATACATCTCTTTGTTTATATATATATATACCTGTAAACTTGCATATACAATATAATATTCACATGATTCATCCTTAAATTTATAGTATTTATTATTTTATAATAGAAACAACGTGTACGTATTGACTATTATTAATTAAGCGAATTTCTCATCAATGTTAATTCGGGATAAAGATAATATGTAAAACTTTAATAATATTTCATCTTTGATCTCGTTTTGACAACATGCATATTAATTATATCCATTAAATATAATATTAATATAGTAATAATAATAATAATAATAATTATATAGTTATAGTAAATAACAACACCCGCGCGAATATAATTATTATTATTAAGAAATATGTAAAACAATAAGAGGAAATATATTTATCGAGGCAAATTTTACAGTTTTTTTATTTTTTGTTTCCAATTTTTTAAATTTCAATTGTAAATATTGTTTCTTAAAAATTTCATAATGTGAATATGAATCAGGATATTATGAAGGAATCTACTTCTTATATAGGATAAGGTATGTATAATTATGGAATCGTTTAAATTTGTACAACAACACACGGTAAATTAGTTTTTATGACAGCTTTATTTAATTATCGACACATGACGATAATTTGATCAATAATGAATATCGATTGAAAAAATGAAAGCAAATGGTCGCTATTTACATACAAATATTACAAGATTTTTTTTTTTTTCTTTACTTGCAGAGTGCACGGTTTTTTAATACATGCTGTCAACAAGCGTGAGATTTTTTGTAGTTTTTATCTTTTTATTTCTTCTTTTTTTTTTTTTCTCTTATCTTCTCTTTTATTTTATTTTAATTATTTATTAATTTATTTTCATTTTTTGTTCGTTTTTTTTTCTTTGATTTCCATCCTTTTTTACCTATCGTCGATAAAATGGTGAGCTTTTTTTTTTCTTCTTTTTTTCTCGTCGCTCGTATCTTTTTTCTTTTTTTCTTTAATAATAAAAGATCCCTATCTTCCAGATTTGTTTGAAAAGATGCAAAAACTTGACTCACTTATATGCACAACCTTGTCACTTTTTTGAAATGTAAATTATGCCGTTGGCATATACAACACGTATAGAGTAAAGAGAGAAAGAGAGAGACAAAGAGAGAGAGAGAGAGAGAAAGAGAGAGAATATAGTACACTATGAGAAAAAAATGTATACTTATAATATTTGCTTAAACGCGTTATAGATGTAAAAAGCTGACGAGATAGTGTAATAATAATAATAATAATCATCAAAATAATAATAATAATAATAATAATTCATTAAAATGGAAGAGAAAATGAATTCGAAGATCACGACCTTATTTACAATTTGGAAAGCACTCGCGCGTTTTATTGGTTCGTAAAAAATGATTTTTTTCTTTATCTTCTTTTTCTTAGATATTTGTTTTTTGTTTCTTTTTCTTTTCTTTTATTTTCTTTTTTTTTTTTCTTTTTTTGTTAGATTCTCGTAGTATAAATTAAAAACTTATATTTTGTGGAAAGACTTTTTCTAGAAATAATAAATCAGAAGCTCTGTAAGACAGTCTCCGCATACAATGAACATCCATTCTATGAGCACTCGTAAATACTGTTGGCGTACACAGAGATTAATACAAATATTAAAACGCGTAATAATCATCATCTACTAATAAATCACGCTACACTGTTTCAGCCATTATGTCGGCATTATTAAGCTGCGATACATTGTCTACAGAATAAGTACAAGATCCAACATCTCCAATACCTTTTTTCTCAACTTTAACAGCATTGAGAAGCATACTGTCATCGTCTTGTTTGTTGTGCATTCCTTGGATCCTATCTACATTGTCCTCCATTTTAATTTCTTGTTTCATTGTAAACTTCCTTGTCTTTGTTTCTTGCTTAGGGTCAGGCTTTTCTCTCTCATACATAAATGTTTTTCGTTTTCTTCTCATAGGTTTGCAAACTTTTTTATATAATACGTTCATTTCTTTTATTCTGCTTGTCGGTATAGTCCAATCCATTTCCTTAGATGTTGTATCAGGATTACGTGTTGGATCCATGCTTATATCATATGCAGGAATTTCTAATCCCAATTTTTTCATAACACTTATGATTATTTCATCGACATTTCCATTAATTATTAGATCTGCTTTCTTATCCTAAAATCGAATCATTTTAATAATACACGTTGTTTTCTATTTATTATAATAATTACATATGAGTTTATACATATATATATATCATTTATTTTTACATGTTTGGTAGGCTGTAGATTGCATATTACAAGTCTCCCTCCATATTTTTTAGTATACAATGGAAGATTCCCACTTGGTATAATTTGCAAAGTTGTTCCCAAGCAAATACTCAAATCAGCAACGCTATATCAGCATGAGATATAAAATATATGTTTGTGATAAATGTGCTTTATAGGAAAACTACTTAAAATCGAAAATACATTTCTATGTGTTATTAATAAAATACCTGGAATGCAAATCTGATAATGTCAGATCACTATCCGGTAAACTGTGTTCCCAATCCAGAATAGTATCGTGCATACGTCCACGACATGGACGACCACCTATCTGTTCAGACCTGCATACCGTATCCAAAGATTTCTTACCAACACTTTTGCTCGCAAAATTACGGATAAATTGTCTGCAAATTAAATAATACAAATGTATACAAAAGATGGATAATTGAATGTCAAATTCATTTTTAATTTTATTAATATACTACAAACTTTCCACATTTATCGCATTGTTCTGTAAACATATTGCCATGTAATTCAGCAAGATTTTGTCTTTGAATACCAGACTTAAGGTGCAATCCGTCGATATTCTGGCTAATTACAAATTTAACTTTTTCTGAAATAAAAAGAAAATTTATATTTCAGTGAAACGTAATTGATAAATGAAATTAGTTGATATGAAATATCATATACATTTTTATACTTACTGCAGTCAATTAATTTTTTTAATGCCATGTGTGTTCTTGTTGGTATAGCATCGTCAAAAGAAATATTCATTGAAGGCCTTAAACCCTTTTGTTCCAATGTCCATACTCCGTTTGTTCCTCTAATTCAAAATTATACAAAATATAAAATATACATAATTAATAAGAAATAAAAGAAAGAATTATAAAAACTAAAGATATAAAACTTACCTTTCAAACGAAATAATTTCAAATAAAACATTAGATAACTTAATTCATTCTAATTATTAATAATTAATATAATTCACACATAAAACAACAAAAAAATTCATTTATCATTCTTTAAACACACCATCACTTTACAATAAATACATAATACATCTCTCATTCACTTATTTATTTGCAAATTCATTTTTTCTAAATAAATAATAAAACAATTTATTATTATTTTTTTTAAATATATTTCACATCTCAATAGAATATCTTCTTTCTTTTCTATTAATTTAAAACCGACTTTAAAAATGTCCTACACATTATTAAAATACACCGTATATTTCTCAATATAATATTTCCCGCCATAATACTTTAAAATTTCGTAATCATCAATTTATTCATATATGAATTAATTTTGCCAAGAGATATCAATTTTTAAAATATATATTTCTCTATATTTATTTAAATACATATATCTATACCACACGTTTATCAAAATAAAATATTTCCCGCTTTTTTCTTTAACATATGTATTCGTATATTAATAAAAAAGAAAACAAAAGCCGATACGATATAGTAGTGGACCGTGTTATATACCACCTAGCGTGGGGAGGAGTGGTAGGAGTGGAGGGAGAAGAGGTACTTTTTGTTTTGTTTTCATTATATATACATATATATATATATATATATACATAACACATATATATGTATATATATACTTTCGCCCCCACCTTTTATTCTTTCTCTATCTCTGTCTCAAGGCAGTCGCAGTTACAAAGACGCGACGCGACATTAAAGCGCATTCGAGTTGCTAGCCGCCTTTCCAAAATGGGGGGTGTATATATGGCAGGGACAACAGCAGACAGAGAGAGATTGAGAGTGAGTGAGTGAGTGAGTGAGAGAGTGAGTGAGAAAGAGAGAGTCAGGTACAGGGGGAGGTAGTTATGCGAATAACGCGAATGCCGATGCAACAAAGAGAAAAGAATAGGGGGTGGTGGGAGAGGAGAGGGGAGAAGCGATAAGTAGTGGGGGAAATAAAAACAAAACAAAAATGGAAGGGGGTGGGGGAAAGGGTATATAATAATTACCGAAAATCTGGAATGCCTGCAGCTGTACTGATTCCTGCTCCGGTGTGAACGACAACATGTCGAGCGCCTTGAATCCATTCCGCCAAGAGTCCACACTTTATACGAAGGGTTTCTGCGGTGTCGTATCTCTGAAAGCGAATTCTACGTGTGAAAGATCTCGTATAGAGTATTGCACTCGGTTATCTGATAGATGGATAGATATATAGATAGACGGATGGATAGATAGATATGTGTATATATATATATACATATGTACCTATAGGTATACATATATGTATGCACACACATAGTATGCGTACATATGTATGTATATATAGCACATATGTAAATACATACATGTACCAGAAGTCTCTCCCCACCAATGAGAACAGAAGGATTTAAAAGAAAAAGAAAAGAAAGAAAGGAAGAAAGAAAGAAAGAAAGAAAGAAAGAAAAGAAAAGAAAAGAAAAGAAAAGAAAGGGATAAGATAAGAAAGGAAGAAGACAAAAAGAAAAGAGGAAACGGTTTATATATCGAAGAAAAATACATTTGAAAAAAAAAAAAGAAAAGAAAAAGAATAGAAGATACTCACCTCTTCTAAACCCAGAATCCCTTTGTTTTCGTAAGGCGACAATCCGTCCGCGTAACTGCATGACATTTTGCGATTGTAATTCCACAAGAATAGGAATAAACAGGAGTAAAAGACTTAGGAAACGTATCGACGCTCTCTTTACAATCGAAAAACGACCATTTTCAAGGTGAATTATCGGCTTCTCAAGCCTCACCGTACCTACGTAAACACAATTTTTAAGTTAATGACCGCGCTATGTTATGTTTATACGCTACGAATGACGATAAGTGATAGGAAACTCGAGATCCACTGGGAACGCATTCTGTTTTATAGACTGCACTGTACGCAATGAAATGACACTTGAACAGAAAGAAGATAATAAACCTTTGGGAGCATGCGCTTTAACGACTATCGCGGCTTCGCTCCCGTAAACGCCTAAACCTTCTCCCACATATTCGATAAGCGTAGGATATTAACTACCGCCACCTTGCGTGGACGCTGACGAAACACCATTGTTACCCGGGAAATTCAAATAATATGTATATTATCTTCCTCTTGTAAATTATTTTTATCAAGAATAAACAAATGAAATGTCTTCTTATCTTTAAAATTGAATCGCTATCAAACTAGTTAAAAAAATTACTAATAACGATTAATGTAACTATTGATCCGTGCAATTATAGCAAGTACTTAATGATTATTTACAATGGAATGTCAACATTCTTATTGTTGATAACAGAAATAAACAAAATTACATGTATATATATTCACGTCAAAATGAACGTTTTTACAAAAATATATATTTCTATTTAAACGTTTTGTTTATGTTTTTATTAGACGTATAACATTTCGTTTTTCAACAAAATATTTGAATTATCCTTTGTATATATGTATATATGTATATATAATATGCATATGATATATATATATATATATTTCTTTTTCTTGAAAGTAACACTAAAGTATTTTATTTAGTTCATGACTATTGGCGTCGAAACGAAAATTTCTATTAAATTTCATCTCATTTCATACGTGATCCCATAAAGTGAAACGAAATAGAATATTATGCGTGGTTGAACAAATAAATAAAATTATAACACAAAGTGGGGGTGTAAAAATGAGGGGTGTAAGAAAGAAAAAAAAATGATACGATTGAAATAAAGAACATCTCGAAGGAAAGTAAAAAATAAAAAAAACATTATTTATCTTGTTCGGTGTTATATTAAACGGGATATCGACGAAAATACAACCACGGAATTCATTTTCCTAAAGTTTTCTTTTTCTTCGATCAGTATATCGTGAGAAAGTAAGAGAGAGATATGTAAGATTCCCTGCTACGTATTGTCTGCGTCACGAGATGCATACATAATTTAACCTTAAATATATTTTTTGGGGAACGCGTATTCTATTAGCCCTATCAAAATCGATTGTGTTATCATATGAACATAGATAAAATACGTATATATTTATCGTGGATATTAAAAAATCCGACGAATTGTCTGTGTCTCAGGTAGGTTAATATTACACATATTTTGTCCTTCCATTTATTTTTATTCTATTTAATTCTATTTACTTTTTATGTATCTTTTTTTATTTGACAATTACATTATATATGCAACCTTTCATATAATCTTTCTAAGTGGTATATTGGTGCGTTTTTTTGTTTTTATACATCTTAATGTTAAATTCGTTATTATTAATTCATTTGTAATATTAATTAGAATTTGACATTTGTTCTATCTTGATTTTTTTTTCTTTCCTAATTTTTGTTAGCTTTTTTTTTTTATATTCGTATAAACACGTCAAAAATTTGTGTACCTTGATCTATTACATAATTAATATTAATTATTTAAAAATTTTGCAAGTTCAGTATCGTCGTCTTTACATTAATATCGAACGGTTAAAACATTGACGTGGCTAAAAATAAATTGGAAAGAAAAGCTATTGCGTTTCAAGTAGAAAACGTTCCTAATATTTTACCAAGAAGAATTGAACGTTTTCAATTAAATATACATTATTATATAGTTATTTAAAAACAATTGAATACTTTTATTGTTGGTTGCGAAGGGTGTGTGTGGTGTGTGTATATATATATATATATATACGTTTTCAAACTCATATTAACTACGTTAAAGAAACTAGAGGAGGTAAACAGCGCTAATATTTGAAATTTATGTGACATTGTAAAATAATTTCGTGTGTAATTCCATGTCATAATTTTTTAACGCGTTATCATTATTTAAGTGAAATCGAATTACATAACATGTGTTTCGTAGATCGAATTGTCAACAATAAGTATTGCTAATGAATTTATCACAAGTGTGTAATTGTGTAATAATCATTCCTCTAATTACAGTAATAAGATGCACGTCAACAATAATACAGTACACACCCTTATAAATAATTTTATTAGAATTTTAACAGTAAGATTTTTATTAAATATATTAAAATACATTAAAAAAAAAAAAAAAGAAATTTATATAAATTAGTATATACATATAAATCACAGGACTATTCATAATCTCAATGTCAATTTAAAACAATTATTGCAGAAAAGTATTTTATTAGAAGAAAAGTCAAATTTAACATAACTAATAAGAAAATTGGTCTCCTAAGAGTATTTGCATCTATGTAAGATATAAAAATACAATAATTATGTATTGTAGATTATATATACATATATATCATTTTATAGATAAATTATTGCAACGAAAGACCTTTTTCTTATTAATATGTCTATATTATATATAAATGATTTCTTTTGATTGGTAAATAAATTAAGTATATGTGATATATTATAATATTTGAATGTATCATATAATTATTATGTTTCAGGCAGAGTATAATATATATGATGAAAGGGCATCATTAGCATGCTGGAAAAGCGGTTGCTTCATGCTCCTGGTTCGTCGCCATGCACCCTGATCTTTATGGTCGCTTTGGCACTTACAGGATGCATTTCCTTATGGTTTTATATAGAAAGTTCAGGATCACTGAATCCTTACTCAAACAGTGCATCGGCTCCAGGATACATACTTATTCTACCTGGAAATCTTACACCACCTTCTTCACCTTATTCGTTAAGCCAGCTTCCGTCCGATGACAAATCCACTTTAATCGATGTAAAGGATTTCAAATTTATAATTAATCATGATCCTTGTAACAAGACGCAACCATTGTTGCTTTTGTTGATTCACTCAGCGCCAGCTAATTTTCCTAAAAGAAATGTAGTACGGGAAACATGGGGACAGAAATCATCCGACATAATATTGTTGTTCCTTGTTGGGTTTTCTGAAGAATATCAAGAAGAATTGGAAGAAGAAAATAACAAATATCAAGATTTGATACAAGGAAACTTTCTTGATGTCTACAGAAACATGACCTATAAGCATGTTATGGCATTGAAGTGGGCTACATATCATTGTCCAAGTAAATAATATTATTTATTATTAATATATATATATATATATATATATATATATATAAATAACTTTTATAATTTTTAATATATTTTAATATGTTCCTCAGGTGCCAAATATATATTAAAGCTAGATGATGATGTTTTTGTTCATATTCCTGCTATGCTGGACTTTATAATGCATACGCTCTCACCATGGGGTGCTAGACGTTTGATTCTATGCGATCTTAAATCAGCAGCTGTAGTTAAAAGATCTTGGCGATCAAAGTGGAGAGTTTCTCCACGAGAATATCCTGGCAGACATTATCCAATATATTGCGCTGGATGGGCTATTTTATATTCTCCTGACATAGTATTCATACTGTATCGAGAAGCTCAAAAAGAACCATATTTCTGGATCGATGATGTTCACATTACTGGAATATTGGCTAGAAAATTAAACATTACCCAATCTTCTTTAGATTCTTTGGTGCTTACACCTGAGAGTATGCAGGATTTATTACAAAATCCGTACACTCAAAGAGATTTTTTATTTGGACCACCTAATTTAATGGAGAATGAGATAAGAGCCTTATATACTTTGATTAATAATAAGCCACGGCTTACAAGTGAAAGCCTAGTTAATTAATACTTTATACAATGTTTTAATTTATTCTCAATGTCTTGATTGATTATTGATAGAGACGCATAATTTATAGTAAATGTTTATTTGCACAATGTAAAGAAAGTCATGATGACAAAATATTTTATATGTGATTTTTAAGTCTTTCCATTTATTTAAATGAGGTACAAGAATTGTTAAGTACGCTTTTTTAAAGACTTTTAATCGACACAAACTTAAAATAGCTGATATTGTGAATTTTTTTAAAATGCTATCTACTTTTTTTAGATTGCATTTACAAAAAATGTAGATATAATATTAAAGACAAAAAAAAAAAAAGAAGAAAAAAGAAATAAGGGAAAAGAAAACAAAAGAAATTAAGAATATTACCTTGTTAATCATGAATTTTAAAGAGACAAAATATAACATTGTTATGTAGAATTAAGTACAACCCCGAATCAAGGGTCCATTTCCAATTAAATTTGAGATTTAAATGTCTGTTTCTAATTGTTTGTATTTTCAATGTGAGCAAAGACGTGCTATTCTTTGATACTTTGTGTTTAGTATTATAGATGCATAACTATATATAAATATATATATAGGATATTGATAATTCTTATTATACGTACAATTTGTATGTATAATTTTTATTTGAAAAAAATTGTAACAATTAATGTCCTAATTTATTTTGAGAAAAAAATTTGACGATGTTTCTGCTTAATGTGTATAAAGAATACTCAGTAAAAAGGTTTTCTCTTCAAAAGTATGATTCTAGAGAACAAAAAAGGAAAATAAAGAAAAGAGAGAGAAAGAGAGAAAACCTTCTGCTAATATTTATTAAAAAATAACTTGTAAATTCTCTGCAAGTTAATGAAATACTCTAAATAGCACTCTCGAATAGCCAAAAGTAGGACCAATGTATAAAGCAAACTGTGTACAAGTTTCATGTGATTTAAACTACAAATTTCAGCTCGTTCTGATCTTGGTTACCTGGAATAAATATATGCAAGAGAAAAAGAAAGAAAGATTAAAAAAAAAAAAAAAAGATGAAAGATATTACATTTAAATCTTAAATAACTTGCACGAATATATTTAAAGAAAAAAAAAAAACAAATAACTTCTGATGTATGTATTTTCTGTATTTCTTTTTTATACTGATAATGAGATCGATGTTGCATTATATTTATTTATAGGGGGAGAAAGGGAAAGAGAAAGAGAGAAAGAAAGAGTATGTTGCTATATTATTCAAATATACTCACATAGCCTAATGCAGTATACTCTATTCTATATGAAGTATACATTCTAATGCAAATTATCTTATAATTTCAATAAATATGAATCATTTCAATTGTTCGAACTTATCTCTTCTTCACAATAATAAAAAAAGTGGGTTGAAAAGTTTTGAGACTATGTTGAGAAATAAAAGCAAGTTTGAGAAAAACCAAATAGTTTCTATGTTAGACTCAAAACTTTTCAACCCATCAATGTATAATAATTATTTATCTTTCAGATAAGTTATTTCATAAATATTAAATGTATAGAATATTTAATGAGTATATAAATTAACAAAGAAAAATAAAGAAAAAAAAAATTATCGATTTTAAATTCTAATAAAAAATTATTGTTCATTAAAAGAATATTAAACAGTAATGAACAATAGAATATCAAATTTAAAGGATACTAATCATGCAGATAATATTAATTAATAGATTATAAATAATTTATTAGTAAAATTTAATGATAATTATTAACGAAATGAAAGGATTATAAAATTGATTTCATTGTTCCAAAAATATGTCCAATTACGTGATATCGCGGTTAACTGAAATAGCCAATCAATTTATGAGCATCTCTCGACACTCCGCCCCCGCGCTTCATCATTTGCGCGCCATAAAGGCAGCCATTGTGCTAACGTTCTGAGGTGAGTGTCATAATTTTTTTACGTCGTTTAATATCTTATTATTTGTTAGCTTTACGGATTATTCATACTAAATACATACGTACAAAATTATTATTATTAATTAGAAGTATTGTCTAATTTTTAAGCTATTTCATCTTTTTGTACGTGTGTACATATATAATTTACCTTATTCTCGTATCAATAAAAAAATTTATTTAATATAAGTTATAGATTACTATGATACGCTTGTTAAGATACACCGCCGACATATTTATATATATTTATATATATATATATAATATATTTCTATATATATATATATATATATATGTATATATATAGATAGTGTAGGTGATGTGGGTGTGTATGTATATGTGTATGACGTGTGCATGCGTGCTTGTGTGTGCTTGTGTGTGTTCGTGTATTTAATTCGAAACATATGTTTAAATTATTTATATTAAAAATATAGATAAAATATTTTATCTTATTTTAAACGATATAATAAAGAAATAACCTCTTTTTGTTAATTTATTTTAATAATAAAATTAATTACGAATTTTTTCGAGGTCATATTAATTGAAGAAAAAATATATTAGCTTTATTATTTTAATTAATATGTATAAATTTATTTATTTATACTTTTCTTTATTGTATATTTATCGAAAAAGAATGATAAAAAGGTAAAGATCATTTTAAAAGTTGTACGCATTTTTACTTGACAGATCCTCACTAGGTGTCGCTTTTATCTGACCGCTATATTGATCAAGTTAGATTTTATAAGGACGCACGTTGATAAGATCTTTCGTATTTGCTAGTTCCGCGAAAAGTTTTAAGCTATTGTAACATTTGTTGTGACAGATTTTGACAATAAATACATCCATTTTGTCAGCGTCGTAATTGTTCCCCTATGACGTCATTTGTGCATTACACAAGCGTCATCGCTTAGTCTGTTTTGTGGAAAATTTTATAGGATTCGTGGTTTGGAGTAGAATTGACCGCTCGTTCATATATATATCTCTCTCTCCCCCTCCCTCTCCTATTCTATATATTATTATATTTTGTTTTATTTTGTTTTGTTTTTCTTTCCTTTTAAAACATAGACGCAGGTGCTATCGAAGTAGTTTCCTCTACCGTGCGATTAGTATTTTTTTTCTCCAATACTGTGAAAGTTACGCGACAGTGTTTTCACTCCCGACCAACTCACTTTCGGTATTGGAACGAAGTAATACACGTAGTGTTATTTATCTCCCATCATACATCATCGCATCAAATCTGTATTTATTATGGAGCCACAGTAACATATCCTCTGTAAGCACAATGTCAAATTTATTCTAAGAATTAACTCTTTCTTCTTTTTTTTTTCTTTTCTTAATTTTAACAAATTATTTTGTCATTTTGACAGTAATGACACACATTTTGTTATAACTATATATATATATATATGTGTGTATGTATTTTTCTTTTTGATTAATAATATTTGTATATTATTATGTATTTATTAAATTATCAAGATATTATTCTAATTTAAATCACTTCTTATTTTTTTTKGTATATATTATTACTAATATTATTGAAATATATATATGATCTACGTATTACTCTTAATGCTTGCATTAATAAATATTTTATTTGTTTTCTTTCAGTAAAATATTGATAAAGGTGCTATAAGTTGATATCAAGATGTCCATGCAACAGTTTTGTTTGCGATGGAACAATCATCAACCAAATTTCATTTCTGTATTTTCAAATTTATTAAGTAGTGAAACATTAGTGGATGTTACACTAGCAGCAGAAGRCAGACATCTTCAAGCTCATAAAGTTGTACTRTCAGCATGCAGTACATACTTCCAATCGTTATTCACARTTAATCCATGTCAACATCCAATCGTTATACTCAAAGATGTTAAATTTTCCGATCTCAAAATCATGGTAGATTTTATGTATTATGGAGAAGTTAACATTTCTCAAGATCAATTACCATCRATTATTAAAGTAAGTATCAATAGCAATTATGAAATGTTTTAACACTTATTGATAATAGTGAGATATTATTTTGATATTTTCTTATAGACTGCAGAAAGTTTGAAGATCAAAGGTCTTGCTGAAATGCATATAGCTTCATTAACTAAAAGGCCAAGTAGTAGTAGTGAACAAGGAGCTGCAGATCGTGGAAAATCTTGTTCTCCTAGTCCATCTCCTCTTTCTCCATCATTCAGACGAAAAAGATTAARAAAAACGTCAACAGGATCCACATCTGGATCTGGTGATAAAACAGAAGAAATTAATGAGATTACATTGGTCGCTACTAATATAGTTAAGCCAGAACCATTGATAGTATCGCCAGAAAGCGATGAAAATGTAAGGCAACCAATAAATACCAGTACAGAATTACAAGGAAGTATCGATGAGGATAAAATATCAATAGTAAGCGTACTGGTAAAAAGTACTTTTTTTTTTAAATAGTTAATAGGACCTATGGTTCTAATATAGATTCTTAATAATGTATTATAGATGAGTAATATGGAAAATAGTTCTACAACAATGCCAGCACAAAGTGATGGTACAATACAAAATGTGAATCAACAATCTAGTGGAAATGTACCACAAAGTTCTGTTTCTTCTCAACCACCAGCACATCAAGGTAAGATTAATATTAAAAATTCATGATTATTTTTTTTTWWWWTTTTTTTWWAWATAYMMMAAGTATATATTTCAGGTTAATATTAAAAATAGAAAATAGCAGATTTTATTTAGATAGAATAGAAATARGTGTAAGAAGGAAAATTYAAATATTGARACTATTCTTTATTTCTTCATTCATTTATATATAATGCATGTATCGTAATATAGTTAATGATCAYTTTCTAAATCCTATTGGAATTTAATATTTAGTATACTTTTTYATTTRAGAATATTTAGCACACAAAAAGATAAATTAATATGATTGTTCAAATTCTTKCTTTTATACAACATAATAAGAGAAAGGTATAAAGACGTATATATGATTAGGTCATAAAAAAATAATTTGATCAAGAAGACACGAAACAGTACTAACAAATGATTTCTCTCAAGTATATACATATAGGGACTGTTACTATTCTTTATACAATTCTTTAAATCTAACTATATATATATGCATGCTAATGAAACAGAAAATACGCATGGGAAAATTGATACTCGGAATCTTGTAAAAATACTTTTGCATATTACAGATTTTGTTAACATATGAAACCACTGATACATATTATAACTATTGTTATT